AATATGGAACAAAACAGCTGTTACTTATTAGTACTTCAAAAGAAATATCGTTTTCGAAATTTGTTATAAATATTTCTATTTTGCACTTAATGTAGCTAAATATTTAAGTATTTTTATTACTTTATATGCCTACTAACTTATTGAAGAAAACTATAGTAATGTTAGCAATAAAATAATAAAAACTTATTTTATTATATCCTATGCATAGTTTTTAGAGAAWATAAAGCCCGTCTAATGTCATTATAACATCGTAAAATTAGAATTCATAGAAAAAATAATTATAGAGAAATTCTTATACAGCGAATAATGTAATAAATTATGTGCAATCACCGCGTGAGAAMAACGCAAGACAAATTTTTCTATCTGTTTCTTTTTATCATTATCTCTWTGCACCGATTGCTAAATATTTTTTTGTAAGCTGAGTATCTATAGGTTTTTTTCTCGTGTTTACAACCGAACTCTCAAGTACCTAATAATAATTGATACCGCAGTCAATGCRTCGTTTTAGAAAAATTGGGTTATAMATTTGTAATGTTGTTATACTAACGCCATAAAGGTATACAATGCCTAACGTTTATAATAGAATTGTGCATGTGTGTGTGCATAACTTATATTTCATGTCTGTAATTAAAAATTATCTTTTAAGTTTTGGAGCAGTAAAAATGCTTTAATTTTCATCGTTGAAAATGTTTTCTGGTAGAAAAATAGATCTAATTGGTACTTACGGAGGGGGGGGGGGGTAAAAAGTAAATAATTCCTAGTAATTTATAAAATAATTAGGAAAAACAAAAGAAAAATTTAGTGAGAMTATAGTTTGAATACCTACAAAGTTGATGCATCCTTTACAGTCACCTCAACTCAATGACAAAGTACACATACCAGATACTATAAAGCAGATCTAATTCAATATTTCACGGATTTTTATTGTTTTTGCRGTTCCGCGTCTACTTATCTATTTATAACATTCATAACCAAATAACGAATATTTATTCATGAACTTATTAGAGACATTCTATTTTCTCCTARTTCAGGAAAAGTGTTTTCAATCTCATACCTAATATTACTATTGTCAATTATATAATAGAAAAAATATCGAACAATTTCAGTTGTCCTCAAAAACTTCTAAAAATGTTACAATCACGTCAGCTTTGCAATYGAATAAAACTTTTCTATGACACTTTGAGTAGGTACATGTTTAACTAACCTAAGCCCCTGCAAATATTTTCATCAATATATTTGATAAATATTTGGTCGTATGCCAATTATTTTCACGCCCTCTCATTTGAAATTTAAAACTAAAATTCTATAAAAATATGCTGTCAATACAGCATTGGTTGTAGTAGATATAATATTGTTGATAATATAATATCATATAACTAGTTTAGCTACCATCTGTTAGCTTGATTTTAAATTACCTCTTAAATATGTTTAGATTTACTATACATCCATGCGGCTTGATAATTTAAATGATATAAAAAAAAATTGTCTACTTYATTACGGTGTACATAAAAAACAGGCACGTCTATATGTTATTTTTTTTTTTCAATAATATATAATATTATACTTGAAGCATAGTTCTCGTCGTTCTCGATTTTAAAACGTGAATATTAATGCGGATTTGTTCTATCTATTGATCGTAACTATTGCTCTAGAACGTCTAATGTTTGAGATATACTTGTACAGTTGTACATAAATATGCTACTTGAATTTCAATAAATTTATATTATATATTCTAGAATTATCTATACCTTAAAATCATTAATATTAGCTACATATATTTATATAGGGTCCATGCAATAGGTAAAAATAAAATAAAATCATTAACTAGCAGTTAGGTAGTACCTATAGGCTATAGTGACTGTGGCCTGTGGACACTAGAATAAGAACAGTTTTTATYAATGAATTATACGAGTAAATGCCAAAATAATATAGTATTTTCAAGTTTTGACTGCTGATTACTATTAATTACTGTGGATTCGTTGTTTAGTCGGTTTTGATGCTTGCGAATGACTAAATATGCTTTAGAAAATCTAAGACTTAGATAATAATAATAATAATAATAATAATCTTGGGCTTGCAGCAAGAGTCTTGCAAGACCTCAAGAACAAGACCAACTTTGATCATAACTATTTTACTGAAAATATATTCAAACTGCAGTATACCTACACTAGACCCAAATGATAAAACTCAATACTGGTAATTACTTTTTAAGAATTATTATCACACATTGTTTAATTTAGATATTAAGGCTCCATGCATKTGTAATTTATTTACTCCRAATTCTCAAAATTTTAAATAAAATCTAACATAATTTATAGTTATATTATTCAATATACCTACAAAAAGTAAAGTAAATTAAAATTAATGATGATAGTCTGTCACATCAATCAGGAATCAAATCTTATAATTGTCTGAATACTTTCGGATTATATCAAAATAATTGACTTAATTAARTCATTATAAGAACTATWATAATACTATAACAATTTTGAAGAAATTGAAAATCGTTTATCTAYGTGCTATTGAAATATAATTGTGTRAGTAACTTTATAAATAATGATGCAATTATGRCATTATTGGCATTATACATATAATATAATCTTTATAAATGTGCCTGTAAGTACGTTCAATTTTATCTTTCGTAATGGACAAAATTAAATATTTTAGTTGTAATTACAATTAATATGGTCGAGGTACCTATAAGTTAAAATAAAAAGTTAACATTTAGTAAAAATAAAAAAATTAATCAATTTAGTACCTATTCGATTTTTTTTAAATTAACCTAACTTATTAATAATGTTTCCTTACTTAAAGTCTTAATCGTATTTTTATTATAAAATTTTTATCGCAGTTTTCACCGTTGGTTTTTCACTATACAATTTGAGACTATGATTGCTAAACCTTAAGAGGACGTGATACTCGCAACTCGCATGTGTTGTTTCCGTCTTACAAGTGCGTAACATAGCAAAAACTGTTTATCACGGGATAAAACCATAAACTCAGTCTGTACTCCTAGTAGAAACACAAAAAGTTAACACAATATTTATATATATATAATATTTTCTTTGTCATGGCGTTTTAATTTGTTTGATATCATTAATAAGAAAATTTTTTGGCCTGAAAAAATTATCTTCAAAATATTTTTGTTTTGTTTTCAAAATATTTTTGAGGATATTTTTTAAATATATTTATAATTTGATTTTTAAAATATACTGTAAACAATTTTTTCAAAATATCTGATAATATTTTGTATTAATTTTTAAATTAACTTCAAAATATAGTTGAATGTACTTTTTGGGTAAATTGTAAGTTAAATTTACTGAAAAAAAATTAATATTCATGTTAAAGTTAATTAATTTAAGCTTTAAAGGAAAAATCATTATAGTTATAAAAAATGATTTAGAATGTTGTTTAGATTCTTACGGCAACAGAGTAAAAATAATGAAGGTGCAGTCCTGTAATTAACATAATATTAAAAATAGGATTTTGACTATGAATAATAAACAATAAGATTAAAAAAAAACTTTATTGTATTTATTGTAATTAGGTAATGTAATTTATATATATATATATATATATATATATAATATAATATTAAATATATATATTATATATTATAATATTTCATTATTATCAGTTATCACAGTCAATAATATTATTAAAACGTATATATTTTATGATTATCTTAAAATATTTTCAAGAAACGTGTTTAAAATATTTTGTAAATTATTTAGAAATAATATTATATACAGTGTATGTTCAACACATTTTGAAAATATATCCAGAGAAATATTTTCTTTATGACGATTAAAATATATTTTAAAAATGCAATCATCATCCAAAATGCTATGTGGGAACCTGGCTTAATAAATTATGAATAAAACAGGTGTTGAACAATATGTATGCTGAACATTTATTGAACCCAAACAAAGATKTCCATTTACATATCACATCAGTGGCGTATCTGTGGGGGGGATGGGGGCATTCGCACCCCCCCCCCTCATGGGCCGTATAATAAGTGTGTTTTGTTATTAAGTAGTTGTTTTTAGTGTTTTTATAATTTTGACGGAAAAATATTATCTTCTAATACTTTTAAGAATTTAAAGAACTTTTAATAATTTAACAATTATTTTTAGTTTAGATAGTGTATTCTATCATAATATACTTTTATTATAACATAGCTGGATAAGTTTTTAAAATATTTGTAGGAACCAACCAACATTATTTTAAAAATGTAATTGAATGCTTACTGCTATTATATTTTCTACTTCTTGTTTAAAAAAAAAAGTTCTGTTAGTTGAATATTTACAGAATACATTATTTTTTAATCACCAATCCTCTAAACTACATATTTTGCTTATAAATCTAGGTATAGTAATGCTTTTAATTCTTTATAATATTTACTATTTTGCTTTATGCTTGTACTATAGACTAAAAACATGGCTAAGCTAAAAAATGGGCCAGGAGTGCTTATGTGGGCTTGCATTATTACATATTTACAAGGAAATCAGTATACCAGTTGATGATATCATTGAAAGATTTTCTAATATGAAAAACCAGAAATTGGACTTTGTATTATAAACATGCATTATATTATATTTAAATAAATAAAATTTCTCATTTTATGTATTACAGTTATATTTTAGTTATAAAATAGCCTAATTCATGTGTCTATTGATAAATTGATCGTACTAATTTTTTAAATAATTTTCTATTTTATGAGTGGTTGAAAATATATCCCCCCCCCCGTAAGAAAAGCCTAGGTACGCCACTGTATCACATAATGTGTTATACTAGTTGTCTACTATAATTTTAAAGAATATTAAAAATTTGAAGAATATAATATAAACATATTTAAATATATAATTTACCTATAGGTATCTAAAATTTATATATTTAAATTCAAAATTATGAAAATTTTTTTTGAATAATTATTGTAGTAATTTTATTTKATTTTGATTTTTTTTRTTGAGTTAATAGACTAATATGCTTAAACATCTGAAGTTATTATTAGACTGAAGATTTTACATGATATAATCATATTATTCAATACAAATTACAATTCTATGGGTGATGCTGATACATCATGTTAAAAATAAGGAGGGAGTTGATAAGGTTTTATTTTTATTATAAACAAAAATTATTTATTATAGACCAATAAAAATTATATATTATAGCCATTCAATCGTTATCGATTATTTTATAATATTTTATACTTAGATTATTAAAAAAAAAAAAAAACAGATATTATATCAATTTTTTTAATGGTTGTTTAGACTTAATCTATTTCAAACTAAATGTTTAAAGTTATATCAGGTTATTTTTTAAGATGCAAAAATTCAGACAATTAAAATTTCTATAATTTGATGAGGACAAATTTATTTTGGTTGCACTGGAATTTGAATATAGAATTACTCTTTAATACCAACACCATAAAAAAACATTGCAAAATACTTAAAAATGTGGGTTAGGTAAGTATGGACATTTATTTTAATAGAGTTTCTTAAATCAGAAATCAATACAATCTACATAAAGTCATATTCACTATTACATCGATTTAGTAATATTTAAATAATATAAAATCGATGTATTATAAAATAGGTATTAATTTATTTTACATTGGTATCTTAGTATTTTACTCCTATAGGCCGATATATGGCCATTGGGCATATTATGTAGATCGTGGCTATTAGTTAGATTTTTGTTCGTTAGAAATATATTGTCACTTTATCAATATTTAATAATATGTAAATCTGATCATATATGAAAAAACATAGCTTACCTTGAAAATAGATAAACTTGGGTGGTATCTAGGTGTACCATCTGTGTTTCCTTCATATCTCATTAGTCTGTCCAGGGGTTTGTATATCCCACGTGGTTTGAACATACCGAAAGAATTCGGCGAAGGATACAAACTAAAATAATAAATCATAAAATTATAAATACTGAATCCATACTAATGTAAATTTTGGCACATAATTATATGACCGAACCACAATACACATAGTACGCTGTATCTACGACAAAAAAGTTTGAGTATCGCTGGACTAAAACATSAGTTCTCGTCTACAAATTTGAGATATAACATAATTTGTACTCTTTTATATTTTTTAACAWTCATTCCGTACCTATCAATTAGTCATTGTTAAGTATAGGATAATTTTCTACAAAATAGTATGTAGGTATAATGTATATACTATACCATACGATATATGATATTTTATGATTAAAAAATGATTAACTATATCAAGAGACTTGATATTTTCTCCAAATATTTTTATAAGCATTTTCTGGACTTTAATTTTTTTTTTCATATTTCGAATTTTTTATGCTACTTATTACTTATAAAAATTTTAAATTTTTCTATTTTTTCAAATTTTTYGTTTTTAATTTTGAATTATAAGATTTCTGTTGATGAGTAAAATAGATTTAAAATTTAATACGAGGTAGTTCATTCGATGATATTATTATAAAATATTATAATATAATAAATATCTAATATAATATTTGTATCAATATTTAATGTGTGAAATCCTATCATATACTAATTTATATTTATATACATAGTGTTTAAACTTTAAAGTGGTAGAAAATTCTAGGGAGACTTTGTCTCCATATTGTTCTAAGCGTTTCATTTTCATATTATGTCATTTTATGTATAATGTCTAAGGTAAATTTATTCTGAAAACAGTAATTATTGTAGAAGCATAATCATCCCACTTTTAACCCTGAACAATTATGTTCAAAACTTTGTAATTTATTTCATATACAATTTAAATCCAAAATAATGCTACGTTTTCTAGTGGATGTTAAAGGGGACACTTTTTAGTCATCGCCAGAGGTAGGAATCTGAGTCCCATCTCTTCTCTTTGATCCCTGTTTATATGGGTAACTAAAGGTGGCTAAAAGCCTGCTACAAGCTACACACTAGTTTAAATTATATTTAATCGTGTATACGCTTTACAGCCCACCGCCAAGTAGTATAATCGTGAATAATGATGGACTTATTATTATTTTATAGATTATAAATATCGTGAATTTTACTGTCATATGAATAAACAACACAATAACCAAGGTTTGATAATATTTCTTATAAATATTATTGGTAAATGGTAGGTAATTATAAGATATCAGGATAAACTAGGATCCTACCTCCTATACTACATATTTTTAGAATCACATGTCTCACTTTTAGTAATAATATTTATATTTTCATTGCCATGGCCCCGAACCTCTCGAACAATAGTGGGATTCTTGCAGGTAGTATGTTTCCTATAATAGATACCGACGAGTACCTATATCGTTCATATTTGGCCACGGACCCAAAATGATCTTAGTCGGGGCGTGATTGCCTTGTTAAAATTTATGTTTACAATTTTAATAACTTAATGTAATTATAAAAACAATATTAAAGTTTATATGAAATATAATTTTTATTTGTATTTATTTGTATAGTAATAAACTACATTAAACTTTGTATTCAAATGATTAGTGAGGTAAAATTTTGAAAAATTAAATATATTCATTATATGGGAAATATAGCAAAAACTAAAATTAGTAGTTGTCGAATTTAAATATTGCAATACAGAATTAGCACAAAGATGTCCAGTCCTACAATTTCATTATTGMAAGCTCTGAATAACCATCATAGATTCTTGCAATATTCGCTAATGTTAAAATTAATATTTTCTATACATGGTATAATTCAAAAAATATATTTTGATTCTTTTAGAGCTATTTATAGACGCGTTTGTCATTTTTGTTTTTGTTTTCCATACATTTTGAAAAAAACCTTGAAACTTTAATACAAGATCCCAAATAAATTGTTCCAATAGATATTTAAGTTTATAGAAAATGAAAGGTGACATTTTTTTATAAGTATTTGAAGTTAAAATTTCAACAAAATATTTTTAATAGGTAATGAAAATTTGCTAATTGTTTTTTTTTTTATATGTCAATAATTGTAAAATATTAGCTTAAAAATAGATTATAAAGTTCCTCGTACATTTTTTTACACTAACCTAAAAACATCAAATACACTTATACACATTTTGTTTTAACAGACATTTCAAGTTCGAATTGTAACGAATAATAACGATCTTAGTTATTTTGACGTTATTCAAAAAATATATATTCCTAGATAATTAAAACTTTTCCACTCTATAAGTAGGTACGTTTATTATAACTAACTATACACAATTAAATAAAAGAAAAAAAATTATATTCATTTGAAACTATTTATATCCATATCCTATTCAAACCAATGTCTCTAATAACTACAGTCAAAGTACTTTCCAAAACCAGATACCTATATCCATATCCTATTCAAACCGTTTTACGATACGTCATGTCAGTATTGACTTGTAAATTAAAAATAGATAATAAATTTTAATATCAGATGTAATAATATAATAAGTAATATAAGTTATTATGGTGGTGATATTGCTATGAGAATTCAGAAGAATTTGTCTAACTTATCATACATTAATGAACAATTTTGAGAGTAAAAATATTGAATTTGCAATATAATTTTGATTTGCTTATAGTTAGTGCTCAATTGCCTGTGTTTTTCAGATATAATTATTCAGATTATGCAAATTCAGGAGCATACACGGACCGTGTAGCCTGCACAACCATTATTACGTGTAACATTTTTTACAGGTTAAGACGGTTAGGTTATAGTATTTACTTTTGGCAAATGAGCAATCCATACATACATATTGTTTAAAATATAAATTCACTCATCTCCATGCATAAACAAAACGTGATGAAAACTCTTAAAAATACTTTAGTCTCCCATCTGCCAAAATATGTTCACGCGGAACGGAGCGAACCACCAAACCGACTATATTTTATTTTTTTTTCGTTACAAAAATAATCAATGTGAAACACGCCTGATCAGTTTCATTCACATAATTACACATCATATCATCATATAATTACACATCATATCAACCAGTTAAACAGTGTGAAAATAATATTATTGGATAGTAAAAATTGCAATTAAAAATTAAACCCATTCGTTATAATAAAGATTTCCCGGCGTTGACACTGAATGTCAAATTAACGTTTGAAACGACTAATAAACAGATATAATATCATGGTGTTTCGTTCAAAAAAAGAAGAGTATAATGTAACATTACAATGACGGAGGAACTACCATATTTTTAAAAAAATAGGTCATCAAAATAATACTAACATTTTAATCATTTTGGATGCTGAGCCAAGAAAATTTTGCTTTTACGATATGATTTTTTATAATATTACTATACTGTCTTTAAAGCATTCATTCTAATATACACCATGTCTAGTTGACTGATTAAGACAATAGACAGACAAATTTTGAATTAAAATAATATTTAAGCACAATAATATTTTCAAGATACTGATTTTCACGCCTCAGATTTATGGACATAGATACAAACATATTTTTATCCCACAATACTAAAATCTATTCAACTTTAAAATGTGTACAATCTTTAATCGTAATTATGGGATATATTTTTGTTTATTATTTATCATCTCACTGCCAAGTAGGTAATAAACTATATTAGGTACCTATACAATAAAATAATTCGATGAAGATTAAAACAATTTTTAATTAAAACTACCCATTTTATTAAGTTAGAATGATTTAATTTAATTTTAATGATGAATGATTATAAATTATAATGTACTTAAACACATGTAGGTATTGAACGATTTTTTCATTTTTTCATTTGCACAGCTGGTTTTGTAGGTGGGTACTAGTGAGTTGTAAGTATATAGGTACCTAATATTACACACTATATATAGAGTAACACAGCGGCGTGAAGGTACCTACATACTACAAACATGATAGGTACTATGTCCTAAAATATTTTTGAACGTGATGATTGTGTTACTAAATATTTTAAACATTAATAAAAACCAAAATCCTAAATAATATTCCATAATTTATGACTAAGTTTTTATTTTATATAACGTATTTGAAAGTTTCTTATGACGTTATAAGTCTTTACATATTTCATTGTTTGGAAAAATATGCCAGTGCCTACTGCCTACGCTAATCATTGAGATTTGAGTATCTTGAACAATTAGTAGACGTTTACCAAAAAATTATAAAACCTAACCTAACCTCTTATCTAGATCAATTCGCCTGTATATATAATATTATAATCAATATTTTGTGGATTATGAGTGTCAAAAAAATAAAAACATATACGTTAAAATGATGTATAATCGTTATTCGTCAAAGACATAAAACACTAATAGGAACACTACCTTACCTATAATACACTACATAAAGAGATGCCAGTTAATATTTTACTAGAAGAAATCTACATGGAGTTCTAACAATATTCCGATATTCTTCACRYACACGTGAAATATCATTATTCGTAGCCAATTTATTACTATTTGTTTCCATTACGTACAGTATACATGCAGATAAGCTTAATGTACGTACCTACATTTTTAGCATAGATTATTTTTCATTTTTTTCTGAATAATAATAACAACAATTTATCAAAGTTATATGATCTAATATTTTAATTTTTTTCCAAATAATTTATAAATAGGTTTTGATATAATTTATTTGACTTATCAGTAAGGTCGGTATAAGTGTATATTATATACCTAAATTATACAWTGAAGTATAAACTATAAGTCACGTAAAAAACGAAAAACAACCGGATATCAACCATAACTTACTATATAAATTATAGTTTTTTTTAACCGATAATAAATGTTTTAAAATAATTGAATACAATTAGATACTTGTGCATACGTTCTTAAAGTAATACAATTGTAGGATAATTATTGATTAATAATATTAGTAATAGGTACTTAGCACCTAAACCTATATCATTGTTATATAGCCCTAAAATTATGTTTACTAGGTCGTTTTTAAATGTATTATTTTAAAATAGCCTCTTTACCTGCAAAATCGTTACCTAACTAAAGTATATAAATACCTAAACTTTTGACAGAATTGTATTTATTTTTAGTTATTAGTTATTGCAATGTGTTAAATTTTAATTCGATGATAAATCATTGCATATGAAAAACAATTTGAGGTGAATACAGCTTTTGGTAACTCTAGTCTTTCAGCCTAATAATATAATCTATATTACCAAATATAATTGTATGATGTATTTATGTGGCTATGATAATAATTTATTTTACTATTAATTTTACAGTAGACGATATACGATATACATAGACTTAAAATCAATCTAAATAGTTTTTAAATGTTATTTTCATACCTCAGTAAAATATAATAWCATCTTATGGCTTATACAATTAAAGCTTAAAGTACCTACGTAAAAAATTTGAGTACTCACAAAAAATATTTTTGAATAATTTGAAGATAGAATAGTGTCTAATTTAAAAAAATGTGAGTTTTTAAATATTTTTTGGTTCCAATTTAAATTACTTACCATGTAACTTGTATTACATTTTTAATCATTATTAGTTATAAAAATTGAATATTGAATACTTTTTTAATTAGCTTACAATTTTTCAAGAATTTGACGAATTTTGTCGACATTTTAACATCAAATTCCTGTTTAAAAAAATCTAGCTTTTGAATCTTTAACATTTTTTCAAAAAATTTTCTTGACATACTATAGAAACACAAAAATGAAATAAATTTTCTAAAAAATGGTGAAAATATTTTGAAAATTGTACCCTTGTATATAAAAAGCTAATTTAAAGAATTTACGAAAATTTAAAGTATATACTCTTATTGTTTTTTATTACTAAAACATATCAAAATCGTGATAAGAAGTCGTTATTTTACACGTTAATATGAATTACATACAAATTTAAACTTCAGACGCTCAAAAAGATACTTTTTAACCTTATATAATAATTTTTTWAAACTATTGCAGTTATTTRTAGAAAACAAACTAAAAAAAGCTTAAAAATTTAGAATAAATTTCAAGTATTCGTCTTTKAATTACAACAAAATTATAAAATCAATGTTCTCAAATGCATTGCTTAAAAATTGCTGTTTCTCCGCAATTTTTTTTTTTATTTAACTCGATTATTTTGAAAAGAAATAGGAATTTTAAATTTTAATCTACCCAAAGTACYGACTAGATTCATTTTCCTTTCAAAAAATAATATTTTGAAGTCGAAAATCAAAGCGTTTGTTCTACTATAAATGTGTATTTGTATGTAAATCATTGTAAAATCAATATGTTGTAATCAATAATGATTATAGATGATGATATATTATATTATACACCATACACCAAATATAACATAGATAGAGTTTTCAATCGTTGTTAAATGTCAAGGTGTAAAAAAAAACTCTGAAATTTACATGCTGGTCTATTATATTTATGTATAYACTTAAAATTTTAAAGGAACAATGGTAACAACTATATTTGCTATACAATTCTGGTGGTGATTTTTCAAAAAATATTTTATGAATTATGATAAAAAATCTATAATATTTGGTTCACTATTATACGGTCTTCTAAAGCTTTATAGTAAATTTATACACAGTTTGAATTGAAGTGATTGCAGGAATATGTTTAATTTACTAGACCTACATTTTTATTTTTTAATTAACTTTCATATATTTTTATAAATTTAAGTAGGACATGTGACTAATAAAAAAAAAACATTTCGTTCATTTTTAAATTTTTGGGATTGATGCCTATAATATTGTTGGCAAACATAATTAATTACAAATGCCCTCAACATACAATTATAAAATATGTAAGCACTTGTATTGGTTAAATCGGTGCTAATATTATATTGTTGGATCTCAATGATATAATGATACCCCCCCCCATCAATTTCAAAGCATAGTTATTAAATATTAATTTATCATTATATTACTGAAACATTGTTTCAATCATGTAAGTAGCTCTTTTTTTGTAAATCGATTATTATTTAATTTATCATTAGTAATTAGTTTATTACCGATACTAAATATCACCAGTGCAGGCGTTAGGTCGTAGCTAGATGGCATATTAAACAATAKAACTTTTGCCCAAATAATCAAGTTAAATAATAAGCTTATGACATAAGACTTTGGACCTTATACCAATTAGATATTGTGCATAAAAATACTAAACTTCCATGCATTATATATTGATACCCGTCTTATAGTTACTCTAAATTAGTATAAACGTTTAAATTTTTTAACTAATTTTTTTCTTGAAATGTCATTGAAATTGCCTATATCAAACGCCTTAAAAAGCGTGTGTTTGTGGATGAGTCCTCTTAACTACATATTCAGTAGTAAATTTATTTCTTTCATGGCTAATTGTAAAAAATAAAAATKTAAGACAGTTACCTGATTCTACACAATTATGTATATTTTATAGTTGTTCTTAATCACTAGGCATAACTACAAGTAATAACGTAAAGTATCCTTATTATCAGTGTATGATAAAATACTAAAAGCACCTATTTTGAACCTAGTTAGCTAATACTCTGCTGGCGCCCCTGTAGGTACTATTGTGTCTAGACGACGCGACATTAATTTTTCGATTAAAACGATTTTAAAAATAATTTAAACATTAAGAAAAAATATAAAAATTAGAAGGTACTACTATCAACTATGTGCGGGATTGCCAAAAATTCGTTCACATAGACAACGGTATAGCCAAGCAATGTAAGCCGCCACGTTTGGAGCGCTTTACAAGGTTGTAGTCAATTTGCACCAAAATTGACCCAAAATATTTACAACATGTGTAATTTGCACCATTTTTTAAGTGCGTTTGTAGATTGCACAAAATAAAGATATGTAATTTTCACCATCCTCAGGTAGTAAGAAATAGGAATTGTAATTTGCACCAAAATTAAAATCGATTCTTTTTTCGATAGTACAAACTTATAAGTTTTTATATCCTAATATAAATTTGGCTTAGTTTTTATTAATAAATAATAGCCGAGCTTATACACATATTGATGTAAGTACTAAGTTTATATAAAATTGTATAATTATGAATATAAAAAAATGTGGTCAATTAAAAAAATTATATATTATTAAATCGTATTATTATTATTATTATTATTATTAAAATTATTATTGTCATTCATATCAGTCTAGTCTCGACGTCTATGAAGATACCGAGGAAAAATCGAATATTCGATAATTGAACAAATAAATAATCATTTTGGTGGAATTTACAAATTCTATTTTCGTCTACCTGAGGGTGGTGCAAATTACATACCCTTATTTTGGTGCAAATTACAACCACTATTTTTGGCTACCAGCAGTGGTGCAGATTATATATCTTTAATTTAGTGCAAATTACAAACTCCCCTTTACAAACACACGTTTGTAAAAATTAAAGTAGAGACAACAAATGACTTMTTATTGACGTTTATTATATTATTATTTCAAAATTTCAAACTATACCCAACTGAAAAATGCTAAATAGCTAAGTATAGATACTTTTACTTACGATGGGCGATTAAYAAGACATTAATTTAATAACTTGAAAATGAACCATCAATATATTATGTAAGTTAAAAAATTTAAAAAGATATTAATGTTCCCCGCATTTGCATACTCGTATGGAATATCATAATATTATAAAAGTATACAGATAAACGTACACGGAATAGAGAGACGACGGACGGAAGTCATTGTAAAACCCGGAGTTCTCGGGTCTCTTTGACTTCACGATCGGCACGTGCTGTATGGGGTAGACGGACATGGTGCAGCAGTGTTATAAATGTATAATACTAAATTATTCGGTACGTATATGGACACGTCATGTACGATTAGCAAGCTGAAACGGAACAAAATTGCACGTGAACTCGGACTAGGCGATGAACGCGATCTCGCTCGCTCGTCGTACGTAAAAGTATATGATATTTTAAATGTTATTATTATTCGATATCTCGCCGACGCGTATAATATCGTTGTCGCGACAGCGATGCTTGTGCACGATGAACTGAACAAGATCTCTACGGGAGAGTTGTGATAATCGTTTGGCGTTCGTATGATATAATGTTTATATATAACGAGAATCGACAAGAGACCTAAAAATAACCGAGCCGCCCTACGATGTTATTACTATTACTATTACTACTACTACTACTACTACTACTACTACTACTACTACTACTACTACTACTACTACTGTTACTATTATTATTATTATTATTATTATTGTTACTACATGCTGCGCGCCCCGGCGTGTCTGCTCGGTCGAGACTTGTGCATGGCGTCATACTATATTATATAATTATATACGTCTATCAATTATTTATTATTATGGTGATGATTTTCAGATCCGTGTTTTTTTTACTACATTCGCGAAAACCGAACACCGTGGTACTACGAAATTCTAATGSAGYGGTTGGACAAATAAATCAAATAAAACGCTAAGTAAAGCGTCATATCCAAACAATCGGGCCTATAAATCGTTATTCGACAAAAGAAATAATAACGCATAATATTATCTATACCGACCAAATGAGCATAGCAATTTGCAAGCGAATAGAAAACTTTTTTAGAGCACATTATAGTACCTATATAAACAAAAAACATACACCTAATAAAATCCGAAATTCTTACAAAACCCCCTTGGAGACCAAATAATTTTTGTAATTTGTTTTTAGCTTTGCTAAAAGCAACAAAGGAAACGCCGCCCTTCAGATATTTGAAAACCTTTTCAAAGAAAAAACACAAAATGAAGATCAAATATTAGTTTTGCTGACGTAACCAAAACTAAAACCAGCATTGCATTTGCAATAATAATCAATGGTTCGGTATACAAATTTAAATCTAGGTACTGCCGAAGACTTATAGTGATCCAAAAAGCAATCCATCTAATGATACGCCTAAAAACTCCTTCAACATACTAACCGACTCTTTGAGAACACTAATAAGTATCCAAAACTTTAAAAAGAATAATTAAATAACTAATAATATTACTTGTCTTCTCAACAGAACTAACATATAACGCTAACATGGATTCCTAGCCATCATATCGAAATAGAGGAGAACGAAAGATCAGACATGATGGCGAAACAAGCARCCTGCAGTGATCAAACCATCGAAATATTAAAATTACCTTCCAAAGATGACCTTAAAAGAGAAGCCAACAATTGGCTTTAGTTTGGTTTTAGGGGTTGACAAGCTGAGCGGCCGCCCAGGGATGACGATATATCATGGGCGCCTTTAGAATTCAGATCTTAGTTTTTTTTAAATATTTTTTGTAATTCAATTATTGATTAACCTGAGCTAGACGGTGCGTTAATTTTCCTARCCCAGGGCGCATAGTTCCCTAAGACCGGTTCTGGTTTTCATAATAAGTACCTACTTCCTACATATGAGGTAGGTACCTACATAGTATACAATTGAGTCTCCATAACCAGACAACTTTAATTTTATCGATTTTTTTTTTTGCCTCTTGAAGTGTTTTTAAGTTTGTGTTTGAGGGTTTGGCCGTAAAAGTGGCTGACTTAAGATGTATTGGGCGATTCCAGACAATGCGAGATAGTATATTATAGTTTACTAAACTTCATAGATMATTTACTATTGGTGTGATAATCGTTTAATTTGGTTTTTTTCAAGCATTGTTTGTGACGCTGTATCGTTATATTCAGTTAATTTCAGTTATTGTTCTGTGGTTATTGATAAAATGATAACTTAACGAACATTGTTACTATTGATAAGTAGCTCACAGACACGAACTAAGAAGTGTGAAGTACGAACTTAGTCATCAAGCATATTTTTCTGCCGTTTGGGTGCCTACATAATAGGTAGGTACCTACATTATAATAYATCATACTTAGATAATTCGTCAACTATTAAAATCTGGACCGATTTCAATGAATTATTGATTACCTATTCTAGATGGATCCGCCTTGGATTTATTTTTTGTTTTATCAAACAAGATCAAAAATATTAAATTGACTAAGAAAAAGAAGCGCGCCTACGTGTATTATTTGAATTTTTGCAGTTCTTTTGGAATCGTTACAACATTGAACAATAAAATAATAAACGCAGGTTGACTTCCGACAATGGCACCGTATACAAGAAAGCATTAGGTATATAAATTCTTATCGTGGTCAATTAGTAAAGTTGTTTTTTAAATTTTAATACCTATTAACTTTATGAAGATCGGGATTYGAAAAGAATTTAAAACATAAAACTATTTATTTATTTTACACCAAATTATCTTTTGTTTTAAATATAAAAGTTTTGTTACGTATTATCATTTGCTTTTTGAATATATCTTTCAARCAAAGATTGTTAAGTTAAAAATCTTTTTTTTTCAATTTCAAATGTTGTTAGGAGTCATCAACAGACAACAATATTAGTATAAATGTWATTTAACATAAAAATGTCACCAACTTTAGTAGGATACTTCTGACAACTTTAAACTATTTTTAAAAGTAGTTATGTTCASTTACATCTTCGGTTTTTCCCAACTTTTTTACCGCCTGCATGGACCACTTCGATAATATTTGATAGGACCACCTCAGTWTTACGAAAATAGGTAAGACCTTTTTTTGCTCATTGACAAGAACACACAAATTTAATCAAAAAAATGTTATTTTATTACTATACTTAACTAATATATAACTATGCTTTACTATATTAAATAATTGTGATGGGTGATTTTTGTAACTGCATTTCTTTGATCATTTTCGATTCTCTGATGGATGTTGCTCATACCCAAATGTATGTCGATGCTTACGCCCAAGTAGTGTTGTGCTTAAATAAAAAAAATATCTAGATATAGATAAGATATCTTAATTTAAAATTATCTAGATTTAGATARATTTTGCAAGWAATACAAATGAAATTTCTTATTTAATTATTTATTTTATAATGAATATGATAATATTGTAGGAYAGTTATTACTTATTAGTTATCTACGGATTTTGTGAATTATCTAGATAATTTATTTAGATGGCTATACATTTTATCTAGATGAAATTTAAATGTCGATTTAATTTTTTCCTCGATATATTTTCAATCGATTCCTATGTTTCTTTTAATTACAAGTAGACTAGAAAATCCTTATCGTAATTTTTTCACTAGGTATTTAAATAATAATAATAATAGACAATARTCATTTCTAATAGAAATTGAAGAAAAAAATCTATGGGACCGCGGATCACCGGTTGGGAAACTGGAAGCTCCAGTTTGACGAAACACAAACGTATGAACATGGCAATCTGAACGGTATTTGATCAAAGATCTAAGATCCAAGGATCATAATGAAATAGGATAAATCATGTTAATACATGTAATGTTTGTGCTGATTAAATTGTGTATGTTATACTTTATGACGAATATATTATTTAAACTCTGTTTATTTTATATTTGTTCTTTAATTAATTGTACAATGATAATTCATACAAGTTATTCTTACAATATATAAATGAACATCTTAATTCTTATTTCTTAATACATAATAATCTACATATCGAAAATGGCAACKTGATAAGCTGGATATAAATAAAATAGCTTAGGTAACACTTATTATTATGACATCTTTCCTTTCTGTTTTTCTTATAATAAAAAATGTACGTCTATTGTCACTTAATAGTGTATGATAATATATAGGTATATATAAACATTTTTAATATTTAAATTAGAATGTAATCATAATCTCTAGTAATAAGTCTAATTTTTTAGGTTTGACTACCTTTCTATCTATCCTGGTTTTATATTCTTTAAGGTTGGCTTGTCTAGAAATTTTGCTGTAATGTTCTATAATTCTCGACTTTTAAGACTCTTCTTTTTCACCCACTATGTTGTTCTGTTTACCGTTTACCTATTGTTAGTTTCGAAAGAAAGCTGATATTAATGACTTGCCAAATTTGCTTTCACTAAATAGGATCTGAGTTCATTCAATTATTTAATTATTGTTCCTTCATACCAATTTTTTGTATACTTGTCCTGAATATACACTTTTTCAAACTTCCCAAAACAACTAATATTTTTATTTGCACCTCTGTTTTAATACAGAGCTTGTATCTAATATGATGTTATAATAATTTTAATATGGAATGTGGGGACACAAATAGCTACAYCCATTGCCGAGGCTTAGTACATTAAACACACTTTGTGTTTCTATTCAAACGAATGCACAGTTTCGGGAAACTATACTCCGTACCACGAGAGAACGCATACGGCGGGYCGACCAAAACTCGTCGTTTTCGCGCATGAGCGTCCCCCTCCCTTAAGCAGTCTAAAGCCGAAACTCGTCGTTCGCTATCGGAGCTATTCGGTTTTCGGTTGGCGCACATGTATATACAGACTGGTTGTTGTCAACAACATAACTGAAAACTGTTGATTCGTACGTCGATCGTCGTTTACGCTACTGTCTTGTTTCTTTTTTACCGAGAATCTTGAATTATTTTAATTTTTTTTTACGCCAGTGTTTGCATTCTGTTTTATTTTGACTGTCCGTTGTCTATGTTAATTTATTTTATGCAAAATGAGTCAACAAGGTAGTGATAACACGGCCATACAAGGGGGAACTGCAGATTCACCAAAGAAAAGAAACCCCCGTGGAAAAGTAAGAATCATTTTAATTATTATGATTGTATTATATTATATTTTACTATTTTTTTTATACATAATATACTATTCTATATTATATTATACTAATGCAACTGTTATTTTAGTTTGTTGGCTCTGGTCAAAAAATGATGATTGTCAATTTGTATAAAACCAAAATGGCGCAACAATCAACTGGTCATGGGCCAAAATTGGCGGCAAAAGAAATCATAAAAAATATATCCGAAGAAAGTGGTGTCGGACAACGGACTGTGAGCGTTACTCTGTCAGAATATCGCAACAAAGGAATTGTAACATCACCAAACAAGACCAAAATCAGACCGAAGGTAATTGATAAAATTGACGAGTTCAACCAAAATGCTATCAGGCAAAAAGTTTATCAGTTTTGGCACAACCGTGAAATCCCGACTTTAAATAAAATGTTAACAGTAATAAACGAAGATGACAGTTTACCGAATTTTTCAAAAATGTCCTTGTACAGAATTCTAAAACATCTGAATTTTGAGTATGTTCGTAAGTCTCGGAATAGCGCGTTAATTGAACGTAATGATATTGTCTGTTGGCGTCGAAGATATTTAGAAACTATTAAACATTACCGTCGGTTAGGTAGACCAATATATTACTTAAATGAGACATGGGTAAATGCAGGCGAAACTACAACACGAACATGGGTGGACAAAACAGTCAAATCGACAAGGGACGCATTTCTTCG